AGCTGTAAAAAGCCAAAAGGAGGGTGCAAAAGCCCCTCTGCAAACCGGAAAAGCAAAGCACCAAAGCTGTTGCAAGGCTGAGCCCCAAAAGGGCGGGAAAAGCTTGCTTCTGTGGCTGAAGATTTGCAAAGTGGCAAACTTGCAAAGCTGAGCAGGGCTCGCAACAAAAGAGCGGGAAAACTCTTGCTTCTGGCTGGAAACTGTAGCTGGAACAAACTGTTGCAATTCCGTGCAGACTTGCTGTGCAAAACTGGAGGAGAAATGTAGCAACTTGCAAACTGCTGAGATCTTCAAAATGGTGGGAAGAGAGCTGAAGCAAAGAAGGAGGCTGCCAGCCCCTCCCTTCTGGTCTTCCAAAATGGCCGAAAATGAAGAAGCACGAACAGATGGGCTCCTCTTCAAGATGGCCGAAACTCCTCAGACACACACAGATGGATGCTGGTAATAAAGGCTTGAAATGGCTGGTACAGGCTTCTTTATACACTGATCTGTAGCTGTAAAGTCTTTTCCTCTATTCCCGGGTGGCAGAAGCCACCAGCTCCGTCTTTTACTTTTAATCCCGGGTGACAAAGGTCACCAGCATCATTCCTCAATGTTCTGTCGCCACTGGGTCCGAAACAAAATGTCTTTATTCTATAGAACGCACACTTTAAACCCAGTGGGAAGCCGGGGTGCCCGAAGAGAGATTGTTAGAGACTTCCAAAAGTAATGGGCTTTAGAGTCTTTAAAAGTACAACAAAGTCTTTATTAAGGAACAAATCTTCAAACAAAACTTCATGGCTTTACTATTCAAGTCTTTAAGAGACTGGCACTAACTTGGTTTGACTGTACTATCTCATAAGGAAGAACTCTTTATAATCCCTCCCAAGCCGTCCATCACCTAGGCCTCGCTGGTCTGGGTAAAACTGCCGATCCCCAAATGCGTCTGGAAACCGAGTAACCTACCAGACGAAGCTAGAAGATGTTTAGCTGGAATTCTGTGGTTCTGCAGTGATGTCCTGTGGAAACTTCAAGGCTGTTTTCCCCTCTGGTGCTGTGAGGCTGAGAGGCTGTGAGCTCTCAGCCAGAGCCTTTGGGACCTTTTCCTTCTGTTTCCCTGGAACTGGATGGTCACTGGATGACTCCTGGATGGTCGCTGGATGGACCCAGGATCACCTTTGGATGATCCCCGGATGGCTATTTCTATTTCCCCGGAAGGTTTTGAGGAATGAAGCCTTTCCTACGGGACTAGCTGATCTGCGTCCTATAGACTGGCTTCCTTGTGTGACTGAAAATAGGCCCCTTCCCTCCAAAAGGCAAAAAGGGGGCGGGACCAGAGATCCTAACTATAACTGGCAGGTGGCTTACCCTATAAATGCAAATTATAACAGGAAACCCCCTGCTGCAAAATCCCAAGCATGGGTTTGCACACAAACATATAAACACAGCAAATAAATCTGGAGCTCCTGGAACAGCTGTTCCAGAACACGAGCACTTTATTGAAATAGTAGAAACCTGCTCACGAGCCTCTACACTGAGAGGCTGCAGAACACACTACCTTCAGGGCATTACTCCTGAAACAGCTGCCTTCCTGGAAGACTATTACAGGCTCCACAACGAAGACCCATTTAGTGAGCAAACTCTTCAGGCAGTGCAGAGCATTTTGTCCTCCATCTCTGAAGCCAAGAAAGAACTGAAGTCGACATGGGAAGGAGCAGTCAGAAGGCGTGGAGGCTGCTAAGACAGTTGAGCAATGATTCCTCACAAACTAATACTCATGCCAACATAACGCAGCGGTTCTCAACCTGGGGGTCGCGACCCCCCGGGGGGTCGTTTGGCCATTTTCTGGGGGTCGCCAAGCCGCATTGGCTAGCCACGCCCCCTCCAAAATGGCGGCCGACCCACAAGTCAATTGTACTGATAGGCTGCTCCTCCTGATCTTCCCAGAGATCTGTGGATAGTCAGGAGGAGAAACTTTGGATGAAGAAGACTAACCATTTGGATGAAGAAGACTCACCTCTGTTCCGGGCTAAAGGGTGAATAAACGTCGATCCGCCCAAGATGGAGGCGAGGGGCGGGCGGGAGACTCCGGTGGCGCTAGGTCGCAGGCAGAGCCTCCCGCCCGCCTCCCGTCTCCTTCAGCTGGAAGATGGAGGCGAGGAGCGGGTGGATGGCTCTGCCTGCGGCCTAGTCGCCACCGGAGCATCCCGCCCGCCTCCCGTCTCCTTCTGCAGCTTGAAGATGGAGGCGAGGGGCGGGCGGGAGGCTCCGGTGGCGCTAGGCCGCAGGCAGAGCCATCCACCCGCTCCTCGCCTCCATCTTCCAGCTGAAGGAGACGGGAGGCGGGCGGGAGGCTCTGCCTGCGGCCTAGCGCCACCGGAGCCTCCCGCCCGCCTCCCGTCTCCTTCTGCAGCTTGAAGATGGAGGCGAGGGGCGGGCGGGAGGCTCCGGTGGCGCTAGGCCGCAGGCAGAGCCTCCCGCCCGCCTCCCGTCTCCTTCAGCTGGAAGATGGAGGCGAGGAGCGGGCGGGAGGCTCTGCCTGCGGCCTAGTCGCCACCGGAGCATCCCGCCCGCCTCCCGTCTCCTTCTGCAGCTTGAAGATGGAGGCGAGGGGCGGGCGGGAGGCTCCGGTGGCGCTAGGCCGCAGGCAGAGCCATCCACCCGCTCCTCGCCTCCATCTTCCAGCTGAAGGAGACGGGAGGCGGGCGGGAGGCTCTGCCTGCGGCCTAGCGCCACCGGAGCCTCCCGCCCGCCTCCCGTCTCCTTCTGCAGCTTGAAGATGGAGGCGAGGGGCGGGCGGGAGGCTCCGGTGGCGCTAGGTCACAGGCAGAGCCTCCCGCCCGCCTCCCGTCTCCTTCAGCTGGAAGATGGAGGCGAGGAGCGGGTGGATGGCTCTGCCTGCGGCCTAGTCGCCACCGGAGCATCCCGCCCGCCTCCCGTCTCCTTCTGCAGCTTGAAGATGGAGGCGAGGGGCGGGCGGGAGGCTCCGGTGGCGCTAGGCCGCAGGCAGAGCCATCCACCCGCTCCTCGCCTCCATCTTCCAGCTGAAGGAGACGGGAGGCGGGCGGGAGGCTCTGCCTGCGGCCTAGCGCCACCGGAGCCTCCCGCCCGCCTCCCGTCTCCTTCTGCAGCTTGAAGATGGAGGCGAGGGGCGGGCGGGAGGCTCCGGTGGCGCTAGGCCGCAGGCAGAGCCATCCACCCGCTCCTCGCCTCCCTCTTCCAGCTGGAAGATGGAGGCGAGGAGCGGGTGGATGGCTCTGCCTGCGGCCTAGTCGCCACCGGAGCATCCCGCCCGCCTCCCGTCTCCTTCTGCAGCTTGAAGATGGAGGCGAGGGGCGGGCGGGAGGCTCCGGTGGCGCTAGGCCGCAGGCAGAGCCATCCACCCGCTCCTCGCCTCCATCTTCCATCTGAAGGAGACGGGAGGCGGGCGGGGGGCTCTGCCTGCGGCCTAGTCGCCCGGCAGAGCCTCCCGCCCGCCTCCCGTCTCCTTCTGCAGCTTGAAGATGGAGGTGAAGGGCGGGCGGGAGGCTCCGGTGGCGCTAGGTCGCAGGCAGAGCCTCCCGCCCGCCTCCCGTCTCCTTCAGCTGGAAGATGGAGGCGAGGAGCGGGCGGATGGCTCTGCCTGTCAGTTATGGCCAGTCAGTTATATTACATTTCTTACAGAGCAAAGCAAATAAACAGAAAATACAAAATGTGTGAGTTTGGTAGTTTATTAAATGTCCTTTGAACATCATCTGGCCCCTTGATGTTGCCGCAAGAAGGCTCTCCATGGTGCATGTGGCTGGGCTCAGGTTGCATTGCACCAGGTGGTCAGTGGTTGGCTCTTCTACACACTCACATGTTGAGGATTCCACTTTGTAGCCCCATTTCTGAAGGTTGGCTCTGCATCTTGTGGTGCCAGAGCGCAGTCTGTTCAGTGCCTTCCAAGGCACCCAGTCCTCTGTGTGCCCAGGGGGGAGTTTCTCATTTGGTATCAGCCATTGGTTGAGGTTCTGGGTTTGAGCCTGCCACTTTTGGACTCTCACTTGCTGAGGTGTTCCAACTAGGCCACAGGCAGAGCCACCCCCCTGCACCTCGCCTCCATCTTCAAGCAGAAGGAGACGGGAGGCTGGTGAGTGGCTCTGCCCGTGGCCTAGTCACCGGCAGAGCCTCCCGCCTGCCTCCCGTCTCCTTTTGCGGTTTGAAGATGGAGGCGAGAGGCGGCCAAGTGGCTCCATGTGCAGCTAGGCTGCGGGCAGAGCAAACCACCTGCCTCCCGTCCCCTTCTACTCGAAGATAGCTCTGCAAGCGGTCTTGGCACTCGTCCCTCGCCTTCAGCTGGGATCAGACCCTCCAAGGGTCACAACTCCCGGTTGGATTTCAATTTGTGGGTGAACTACAGCTCCTGGAAAGCCCTCCAGTGTCGGCATAACAGGTATGTGTGAAAAGTTTGATCCACATTCATTGGTGTTAGGGTTCATAGTTTCTTTGGATGTAGGTCAACGACAACTTCTCGAAATCAAGTGTGTATTTCCCCTGAAGACCTCCAGTATTTTTTTGCTGGCCCTGGGGGCTCTGTTTGCCAACTTTGATTAAATTCCATCTTTGGTGGACTTTGGAATGCTCATTGATTGCGGAAAGTATTGCAATTCCCACATGTCTGAATGTATTTCTTCCAATCCTCTTCAGTGTGTTCTGTTGGTCATGGCAGTTATGCATTGCAAGCTGTGTTAAATTCCATCTTTGGTTGGGTTCAGAATGCTCATTGATTGCGGAAAGTATTGCAATTCCCACATGTCTGAATGTATTTCTTCCAATCTTCTTCAGTGTGTTTTGTTGGTCATGGCAGTTATGCATTGCAAGCTGTGTTAAATTCCATCTTTGGTTGGGTTCAGAATGCTCATTGATTGCGGAAAGTACTGCAATTCCCACATGTCTGAATGTATTTCCTCCAATCCTCTTCAGTGTGTTCTGTTGGTCATGGCAGTTACGCATTGCAAGCTGTGTTAAATTCATCTTTGGTTCCCCAAACCTCTTCAGTGCCTTTTTTGTTTTTGGTGCAGGATCAGTGAAGCTTCTGGTTGCTCAAGAGCCATATTTGGTTATATTAGCATGACAATGGATCCGAAGAACATCAAGAAAAGAAGATATACTGAGGACTTTTTGAAGTTTGGATTTACCTGTATCATTGTGTCGGGAGTTGAGAAACCGCAATGTGTCATCTGTTCTGAAGTTCTCTCAGCGGAATCATTGAAGCCTAATAAGCTGAAACGCCATTTAGAAAATAAACATCCAAGCCTTGCCAGCAAGGATGTCAATTTTTTTAGAAGCAAGGCTGATGTGCTTACGAAATCCAGATTTGACACTGGTGGCATGTTCTACAAACAAAACGAAGCAGCTACTGAAGCCTCGTATGTGATTGCACAGAGAGTTGCCAGAGCAATGAAACCTCACACCATTGCTGAGGAATTAGTTTTGCCAGGGGCCAAAGATCTTGTTCGAATTATGATTGGACCTGAATTTGTTAAGAAATTGCATCCTGTTGCCTTATCTAATGACACGGTCCGCAGAAGGATAAATGATATGTCTGCAGATATTCTTCATCAGGTCATTAAAGAAATAAAATCTGCTCCACTTCCCATAGTTAGCATCCAGCTTGATGAATCTACAGACGTTTCAAACTGTTCACAGTTAACTAAAAAAAAAAAAAATAACAAAAAAAAACAAAAAAAAAAAATAAAAGCAAATAGAAATAATTGACTGAAAAATAATAAGTATACAAACAAACAGAACAAAAAAAAGAAAAACAAACAAAAAAGAAAAAAGAAAAAAAACAAAAAAAAAGCAAAAAAGAAAAAAAAAAAGAAAGAAAAAAAAGAAAAAAAAAAAAATAAAAAAAACAATAAAAGAAAAAAACAAAGAAAATAATAAGAAAAGAAATAAGATAATAATAAGTAAAGTAAAATAATAAATGTAATAAAAAAAAAATGAAAGGAAAAAAAAAGAAAAAACTAAAAAAAAAAAAAAAAAAAAAACAGACAAGACTTCAAGACAAAAAAAAATAAACAAAAAAAAAAAAAAACAAATGATAAAAAAAAAAAAAGAAAAAAAAACAAAAAAAATTAAAAAAAAGAAAGAAAGGAAAAAAAAAAAGAAAGGAAAAAAGAGGAAAAAAAGTAAGAAAAAAAAAAAAAAAAAAATAATACAAAAAAATTAATTTATAAAATAAAAAACATTAAATAAAATAAAAGTAATAAAAAAAAATATAATAAAAATATAAATAAAAAATAAAAAATACAGAAATACAGAAATAAAATAAAATAAAGTAAAATAAATAAATAAAAATATACAAAAAAAAAAAAAAAAAAAATAAAAAGAAATATAAAATATAAAATATATAAAATATATAAAATATATAAAATATATAAAATATATAAAATATATAAAATATATAAAATATATAAAATATAAAATAAAATATGTTTGCAGTCAAGTTTTAGTCATGTCTAAAATGGAATGTGTTTTTACTATAATAAAATACAGTAATTTGCACTATATACTTCATTTTTAAAAAAAGAATTTTATTAGATTTTCCATAATACAATGAAAGAGTGGGAACAATAACAATATAGAAAGAGAAAAAGATAGAAGTATATAAAGAGAAGAAAAAGTGAAAAATGAAAAATAAAAAATGAAAAAATTAAAAATACAAAAAAATACAAAAAAGTACAAAAAGAAAAAGATAAGAAAAGAAAATTGACGTGTTTGTGAGGTATATTCATGATGGTGGCTTTAAAGATGAATTTCTTTTCTGCAAACCCCTTGAGACAACAACCACTGCACGTGACATATTTGATACAGTTGATTCATTCCTGAAGGAACATCAGATCTCCTGGAAAATGGTTTGCGGTGTTTGCACAGATGGTGCTCCAGCAATGTTAGGATGCCGATCTGGTTTTCAACGCTTGGTACAGGATGAGTCACCAAAAGTCATTGGAACTCATTGCATGATTCATAGGCAAATACTAGCAACAAAGACGCTGCCACAAGAGTTTCAGGAAGTCATGAAATGTGTAATAAGTTGTGTCAATTTTGTGAAGGGAAGTGGTTTAAATTGCAGACTATTTTCACAACTGTGCAGTGAGATGGATGCACCCAGCAATGTCCTCCTGTTTCACACGGAAGTGAGATGGCTGTCCAGAGGAAAAGTTTTACAACGAGTTTATGAGCTTCGGGATGAACTCAAAGTGTTCTTTAACCAAAAAGCAAAACCACAGTTTGAAGCACTTTTCAGCGATCACAGTGAACTGCAAAAAATAGCTTACTTGGTTGATATTTTTGCCATCTTGAATGAATTAAATTTATCACTGCAAGGACCAAATGCTACATGCCTTGATTTGTCAGAAAAGATCAAAACATTCCAACAGAAACTTCAGTTTTGGGGAAAAAAATTGGATGAAAGTAAAATTTATATGCTGCCTACATTATGTGCTTTCTTTGAGGAAAATGATGTTGAACCAGAGGAAAGGATTACAATTATACCTTCTGTGAAAGAACATTTTCACATCCTTGCAGATGAAATTTCATATTATTTTCCAAATCTTCCTGACATCCCCTTTGCACTTGTCAGGAGCCCATTCTCCATCAACGTTGAAGATGTTCCTGAGGCAGCACAAGAGGAATTCATTGAACTTATTAACAGTGATGCTGCAAAAACCGATTTCTCTACCATGCCCATCACAAAATTCTGGATCAAGTGTTTGCAGTCATATTCTGTTCTGTCTGAGACTGTGTTGCGTCTTCTTGTTCCATTTCCAACAACATATCTTTGTGAACAAGGGTTTTCCAGCTTGTTGGTTATCAAGTCTAAAAACAGAAGTAGACTTGTTGTGGAAGACGATCTCCGTTGTGCCCTTGCAAAGACTGCCCCAAGAATTTCTGATTTGGTGAGAAAGAAGCAAGCACAACCTTCGCACTGATGTTGGCGCAAAGACTGCCCCAAGAATTTCTGATTTGGTGAGAAAGAAGCAAGCACAACCTTCACACAGATGTTGGCCTTATAATGCGTCCTGCTGCAAAATGTAGCAATGTGGTTTCCTGTTGTTATATTACTAGGTTATAATGTGAGTTGTATGTTGTGTGTATGTTAAATCTATTTGCTGTTATATTGAGACTGTTACCCATGCTATGACATGCTTCAAATCTAAATTTCATTTATTTGTAATTAGAAATAAATATTTCACAATATAAAATTACATATTGTTTTGTGATTAATCACTATGGTTTATGTTCACTTTGTAACAATGGAAATACACCCACATAACCGATATTTATATTGCGATTCTTAACAGTAGCAAATTAACAGTTACAAAGTAGCAACATATATAATTTTATGGTTGGGGGTCACCACAACATGAGGAACTGTATTAAGGGGTCACGGCATTAGAAAGGTTGAGAACCACTGATATAGGCAGATCAGATAGTGCATCAACTTCTGAAGAATGGGAAACCCAACCTTGCCACCAAAGTAGGAAGGAAACCAATAGTCAGACAACCCGAAAATGAGAACAACAACCTTCATGAACTTTTACATCTACTGAATTGGACATGGCCTTCAGTAAATGCAAAAATGGCAAAGCAGCTGGCCTGGATGATCTATGGATGGAACAAATTAAAAACTTAGGCTCAAAAGCAAGGTGCTGGCTGCTGAAGCCAATGAACTGCATTGCATCCTGTCAGATCCCCAAAATCTGGAGGGAAACAAGAGTTATAGCCATCTTGAAACCAGGCAAAGACCGCAATGATCCAAAAAGCTATAGACCAATCTCTTTGCTGTGCCATCTTTACAAAGTTCCGGAGACTTATTCTGCATAGCACTTTAGTACAACCGATGTTACTGCACACCATACCTCTAATCCTATGTTCCTCCTGCCATTTCAGCATTTTAACCCCTGTACCCCATTGCGCTGGCCGAACCAGTTTTAATCAGTGTTTTGATGTAGTTATTGTTGTTATTTTGCTTAATTGTTTGATTTGTTTTGCTTATTATTGTGTTATGTTTTATTGTATTGTGTTTGAGGCTTCGGCCTGTGTAAGCCGCATCGAGTCCTGCGGGAGATGCTAGCGGGGTACAAATAAAGTTAATAATAATAATAATAATAATAATAATAATCATGGAAAAAATAGACCCATTTATGATCCCACAGCAAGCTGGCTTCAGAAAAGGCAAAATCTGCACATCACAAGTGTTGAACCTGACTCCGCACATAGAAGACAGCTTTGAAAAGCAGCAGATTACAGGAGCTGTCTTCATTGACCCGTCAGCAGCCTATGACACTGTAAATCATATCCTTCTCCTGAGGAAAAATTATAATATCACAAAGGACTATCACTTCATCCGCTTCATAGGAAATCTGCTACAAAACAGGGGCTTGTTTGTTGAATTCCAGGGTCAGAGAAGTAGATGGTGAAAACAGAAGAACGGCCTGCCTCAGGGGAACGTACTTGCTCCATCAATGTTCAACATGTACACAAATGATCAGCCACTGTCAGAAGGGACAGAGATTTTCAACCGTGCTACTGGTCAAAGGACATTTAATGGAATGCCAAGTTTTTAAACTGTGCTTTGTCACATACATTGGTTCGCTCTTGATACGATAAATAAAACTGCAAAATCCAACAGCTAAAAGTAGGATGCAAGCAGGATAAAACAGACAAGTACGTTGGACGTCAACCGTTTAGGGGGAGCCCCCAGTGGTGCAGTGGGTTAAACCCCTGTGCCGGCAGGACTGAAGACCGACAGGTCGCAGGTTCAACTCTGGGGAGAGGTGGATGAGTTCCCTCTATCAGCTCCAGCTCCTCATGCGGGGACATGAGAAAAGCCTCCCACAAGGATGATAAAAACATCAAATCATCCAGGCGTCCCCTGGGCAACATTCTTGCAGGCGGCCAATTCTCTCACACCTGAAGTGACTTGCAGTTTCTCAAGTCGCTCCTGACATGACAAAAAAAACAACAACAAAAAAACAATGTTTAGGGATGTAAAGGTCAAAACCAGCACCTTTAATCAGGCTTGGAAAGAAATTGGCAACTAGTGCACACTCCCTGGGTCCAGCACCTGTAAATGGCCTGGCTGCAGCTCTTTGGACTTATTGAAGTTTCCAGGCACTCTTCAGGGGCAGCCCCACGTAGAGCCCATCACAGTAGTCTAGGTGGGATGTAACTAAGGCGTGGACCACCATGGCCAAGTCTGGCTTCTCAAGGTACAGGTGCAGCTGGCGCACAAGTTTTAATCGTGCAAAGGCCCTCCTGGCCACCGCTGACACCTGGGCTTCCAGGCTTAGCGATGAGTCCAGAAGGACCCCCAAATTGCAGACCTGATGTTTCAAGGGGAGTGTATCCCCATCTAACACATGCCTTAATCTGCCTTATGGCTGAGCAGAAGGACCTCTGTCTTGTTTGCTTTCAATTTCAATTTGTTCTCATCCAGTCCATTACAGCTGCCAGGCACTGGTTCAGGGTCTGAGTGCCATCCTTGGCTTTCGGTTGAAATGAGCGGTAGAGTTGGGTGTCATCTGCATACAGATTGCACCGAACTCCAAAACTCCGGATGATGCAGGACCCCACAGGACAATGGCCATGGGGTCAATCAGGCATCCCCTAGTGCCACCTTCTGGGTCCATCCTTCCGGGAAGGACCAGGGCCACTGTAAAACAGTGCTCCTGAGTCCCATCCCAGCCAGGCAACCCAGAAGGATACCATGGTCGATGGCACTGAAGGCCACTGAGAGGTCCAAGAGAACCACCAGGGACACACACCCCTGTTTAATTCTCTGCGTACATCATCTACCAAGGCGGCCAAAGCCATCTCTGTCCTGTAGCCAGGGCTAAAACCAGACTCTTCCTTCTCATTAGAGACAATCCAATGCGTAGACCTGTGTGAATTGATTTTAAATCCTGTTCAAATCTGATTTTTAAGATTTTCTGTGGAATCCCTTGCGGTGCTTTTGTGGAACCATAGGGTTCCACGCAACAGACTGGGAGCTAGCGCTAGTCTAGGCAGTAGGGAAAAAGTGTGTGGGCGGGGCTTAGCTGTGGGAGGGCAGGGGGAGGGGTCTCAGGGAGGCAGGCATGTGTATGCAGATTAGGTTGCAGGGGTGAGAGGTGAGGGAGAGGGAATTTACATATGAATGCTGATTGGCTGGTGGAGGAAGTAGTGGGAGGGGCCCTTGGAATGGAGAGGTTTCTATGCAGAGAAGGAATTTGCATGTGGGTGCCGATTGGGTGAGCATGGACGGGCAGCCAGTCACCAGCCACATGCAAATACCTCTCCTCCTCTCAATCCCAAACTCCTGCCACTCAGTCCTCATGCAGACCCCCAGTTGCCTTGCCAGAGCTCTCCCTCTCTCCCAGTGGCAGCCAGTTCCAGGGGCCAATATCTTGCTAATTCTCTTGGAGTGGAGAAGAGGGATGCCCTCATGGGGTCCCATGGGCTTCCGGGACCACCCACTGGAGGGAAGGAGATGACCAGGGGGGCTGCAGGACCCTTGGCCCTATCCAGGGGGTGGGATGCCCCAGTCTCTCATGCTTTGTGACCTTCTTTTGCCCCTTTCCAGATCTCCCGAGCCACAAGGAACCTGCGCGGAGGAGCCCTCTCTGCGGTCGTACATCATCGAAGTGAGGCCAGCGTCGAAGGTAAGGAAGGAGGCCTCTCCCTCCCAGGAACCTTTTAGAAATAGAGGCAGTTCCCAAGTTACAAGCAAGATAGGTTCTGTAGGTTTGTTCTTAAGATGAATTTTTTGTAAGTCGAAACAGGTACATGTTTAAAGTGTAACTACAGCCTGTATATATATATAGGCTAACTTGCTGACCTGGGTTATTAGAAGAAGGCATTGTTTGTTTTGGGTTTTTTTCCTCTCATGTCAGTGGGATTGGTGCCCATTTCAATTTCTAAGCCAAAGAGCCAGCGTTGTCTGTAGACACCTCCAAGGTCATGTGGCCGGCATCACGGCATGGACACCGTTACCTTGAGAGACTGGTTTTGGGATGTTAGGTAATATCACCAAAGTTTGGTCCAGATCCGTCATGGACTGGATTCAGTACTCTCTGGATAAGGGAGAACTTCAACTCCCAGATTCCAAGGGCAATCACCTCCAAATCCTACCAGTATTCACAGTTGGCCATGTTGGATCTGTGTGCCAAATTTGGTCCAGATCTGTCGTAGGATGGGTTTTGTGCTCCCTGCATAAAGGAGAACAGATTTCCAGGGCAGTCATTCCCAAAACCCCAGTGTATGCACAATAATAATCCAAACTTTTTTCTGTTCCGCAATTGTGTGTTCCAAAACTTTGTCAGTCTGAATTCGAAAATCCCACAGTATTTTTGCATGTTCATTTTCCACGACCTTTGCAGATTTATGATCCCACCAGTTCTTTACTACTGGCAGGTAGTACTTTTGGCATAAGTCCCAATGAATATTTTGGCCACAGGGTTGTGCTTCTGTTTGTAGTCCATCTGTGCGATTTTCTTGCAGCAGCTAAGGATGTGATCCATGGTTTCATCAGCTTCCTTGCACAGTCTACATTTTGGGTCATCAGCTGATTTTTTGATCCTGGCCTTAATGGCATTTGTTCTGATGGCTTGCTCTTGGGCTGCAAGAATCAGGCCTTCTGTCTCCTTCTTCGTGAGCCATAACCAGGTCTTCTCCTTATCAACTTTTCCTTTAATTTTGTCAAGGAACTGCCTATGTAATGATTTGTTGTGCCAGCTCGGGTTTGTTGTGCAGTTTTCTTGTACTGATTCTTTGTCTGCTGTGCTTTGAGAAGTTCCTGATTATTGAGTTCCATTAAAGCAGATTCCTGGCTTTCCTTTACATATTCTGCCAGGGCGTGTTTTTCTTTGTCGACTGCTTGTTTTACTCGTAAAAGTCCTCTGCCACCAGACCTTCTAGCTGATAGAGCCATCAACATCACTGTGAGGATGCAGTGAATAATAAATTGTCATTAGTTTTCTCGTTTTTCTGTCCAAATTGTCCAGTTCTGCCTGCGTCCAGTTTATGATTATGATGATTATGATTGTTATTATCTTTATTTATACCCCGCCTTTCTCCCCATCGACACTCAAGGCAGCTAGCATCTATCCCAGGCATAGGGAAACTTTTTTAACTTGG